GCATACACAAAGAGTGCAATGTGCACCACCCGAAGGATGGACATATTTGAAACTCTGATTTAGGGGGGGAAGGGGGGAAAGGGCAACATATGTAACCTAAACATCTGTACCTCCATAATATGCTGAAATTAAAAAAAAAATACATCTACCGAAGAAAATGAAGACAACGTGGTAAATATACCCAGTGGAATATTATAAGGTGGTAAAATTGCATAAATGAAAATGACAAACCATAATGTAGTTCAATTTTCACACCTGATGGCAAGTAAATGAAAGATTATAAAAAGAATGTGTACATGGTTATCGCATTACATAAAGTTCAAAAGGAGAGAACGTTTATTATTTAGGGAAACGTAGTACGGTCCCCTCTTTCATTCCTGATATTGATTATGTATGTTTCTTTTTTTTGCTCTGACTTCCTACATTTTTGATATATTGTAATTTCATTATCTCTTTTTTCTTAATACTTCGTAACTTCAAATGTGGATCCCATGAATGATTGAGGGTTTCATTTATTTCATGCACTATTTAGAGATTTTAAAGATAATATCTTTTAGTGTTAACTGTTACATGATTACATTATGGAAAGGGAATATAATGCCTAAGGTAGCAATTTGGAAAGATTGAGAGATAACTCCTTTCTTGTCTAGTAAATACTTAGTAGTTTATGTTCAATGCATACCTGAAATATGTATCATTTTGTACTGTGTGTATTTCAAGCATATGTGAGTAGATGAAGGAATCTTTATCAGTGTTATATCTTCCTTGTTAATATCTTCTTTAAAACATAAAATATCGGCCAGGTGCGGTGGCTCACGCCTGTAATCCTAGCTCTCTGGGAGGCCGAGGCGGGCGGATTGTTTGAGCTCAGGAGTTCAAAACCAGCCTGAGCAAGAGCGAGACCCTGTCTCTACTAAAATTAGAAAGAAATTAATTGGACAACTAAAAATATATATAAAAAATTAGCCGGGCATGGTGGCGCATGCCTATAGTCCCAGCTACTTGGGAGGCTGAGGCAGGAGGATTGCTTGAGCCCAGGAGTTTGAGGTTGCTGTGAGCTAGGCTGATGCCACAGCACTCTAGCCCGGGCAACACAGTGAGACTCTGTCTCAAAAAAAAACAAAACAAAACAAAACAAAAAAAACATAAAATATCAATTTTTTCTATTAAAACTTTTTTATATTACATTACATATTTTTAATATTAATATTGACAATAACTACTTTTAATAGTATACTTTTGCAATAAAGAAAGCAAAAACAGAAGTAGAAAGTAACATGATGGTGTTCAGAAAATGGAAACTAGTATGTTCCCTATTTAAGGCCTATGCACACAGCAATAGCCTTATGAATTTTAAATTTTTTAATCATTTTATTTTACACGAGTCTATTGTGCCTAATCACTGGGTGTTTTGGGGGGAGTGGGGCTTAAAATCCTTAAGTATATGAATTACTCTCACACATACATGCTAAGAAAAACATAATTTACAACTATAGCTTTTTTTATGTATTCATTAAGTTGTATATTTTGAACAAGGATTCATTCATCCTCTTCATTTATAGAGGACAGCTTCTAATCACCCAGCAGCTGAGCTTTGGGTACTCATGTGTGTGTCTGTGCGTGTGCATGTCTGTGGTCATGCATGTGTGTGTGCATGTGTGTGGTCATGCATATGTGTGTGTGTGGTTGTGCATGTGCACGTGTGTGTCCATGTGTGCCTGTGTCTGTATGTGTGCATGTGTGTGGTTGTACATGTGTGGGGGGGGTCCGCATGTGCATGTGCGTGTGTGTGTGGTTGTCCATGTGCATATGTATGGTTGTGCATGTGTGTGTGTGTGTGGTTGTGCACGTGCGTGTGTGTAGTTGTGCATGTGCGTGTGTGTGTGGTTATCCATGTGCATGTGTGTGGTTGTGCATGTGCATGTGTGTGTGGTCATGCATGTGCGTGTGTGTGTGGTTGTCCATGTGTGTGTGTGTGGTTATGCATGTGCGTGTGTGTGTGTGGTTGTCCATGTGCGTGTATGTGGTTGTGCGTGTGCATGTGTGTGTGCGTGTGCGTGTGTGGTTGTGCGTGTGTGTGGTTGTGCATGTGCGTGCGTGTGTGCATAATTGTCCAGTACTTTTTCCCGCCATTTTCCTCACTTTCTCCATTTTCAGTTCATTGTTCCTTTGATTACGTCATCTAGAATGGCTTTCTCTGAATATGAAAACAGTAAAATATGTAGAAACTTATGGCTCTGAAAATGCCTTCTTTTCCCTCTCAATCTATCAAAACACCTTAAAAATGCTATTTTATATTTAGGAAAGAATAATACACAATACTTAGAAGGGAAAGTACATCTGATGGCCAAGGATCCACCCCCATCCCTCCTCACCCCTCGCGAAGGTGAAGCCTGCAGTGGCGGGTTTAGCTGTGAGACTCGGATCCCTCCAGGTCAGTCTTGTGCTGGGCTGCTTCATGCTGCAATATTCGTCCACGCCCGGCCCTTTAACGTTGCTCTTAGTAACTATGCATCTCCTGAGCTTCCGTAGGACATCATCCTC